GAGAGAGAGAGAGAGAGAGAGAGAGAGAGAGAGAGAGAGAGAGAGAGAGAGAGAGAGAGAGAGAGAGAGAGGATCATGGGATTAACCACCCAATCAAAAGGAACTCCTCTTCTTTCGAAAACAATCCTCCTCCCATGCTTCCTCCCTCCACTTCGTATCTGAACAGTCACCAAAACAAAAATTACAGCTGTGCTGCAGTCACAAGGACCTGCACATGTTTTCCCCTCTCTCGACTCCAATGTCCTTTTTTTTCACATCGCGATTTTGTACACTGATCAACAAAAGACGGTGAAACAATCAATAACGAAAAACGTTGGAAATACAAAAACAAAAAACAAAAACAAAAACAAAAACAAAAACGTTGGAAAGAATGAGACAAACACAAAACAACAGGCCGGAGACAGGATTACAAACAAAAACACGAAAAGGAAATGAGCACTACTCGACACCACTTCTCCTCCTCTCTCTCTCTCTCTCTCTCTGTGTGTGTGTGTGTGTGTGTGACACACACAGCTGGAACAGCTAGCGGCTTTTATTTCCCCTTCTAGCTGTCGAAGTCGCGGCTAAATTTACCTCATCAAAGTTGGTGGTTGCATGTAACGAATTAATCCTACTCTCGCAGGAAACAAAAAACTACACTTGGAAAGCCAAAAAAAAAAAAAAAAAAAAAAAAAAAAACTACGCGCTCACAACAGGACAAGCAGAGCATTGCTTTTGCCTTCTGCCGATCGATGAGTTGATTTCCCGCGACACACCTTTTTACTACGCTTGGATATCCAGCGACACCCCTATTTTTTCAGAGACAAAAAAAGAGAGAAAAAAAAAGACACCTCAGCTATGGCCCCAGGCCAAACTCCCGCCTGACTGATGAATCTTGCGCACTTCCTGAAATAAATGCCCGTTTAACATTTTCTAGTTTTTCTTTCAATTGCAAAAAAAAAAAAAGAGACCTCAGCTATGGTGGAAACTAGACAATCATCACAATCCTACATTCCTAATTTTAACCAGCAACACTGACCACAACGAGAAGCTCGCGATTGGGCAGAGTATGCGTTCTACTTGGGTAGAGAATTGGGAGGTCCCCAGCCTGGTTGTTCACTATCGGTCCTTTCTCAAATAAATTCTTGCGTTTTCCGTGAAAAAAAAAAAAGGAGGAAAGATCTACAACAACAATCGAGCTCAGCTTTTCGAGACTTGCCTTGTCGCCAGCCATTCATAGCTTAACCAAAGACTGTCGCCTCCCACCACCTGCCCCGCTCCCTCCCCCCCCCAACTCTCTGGCAACACCGCCGAAGCTGTTGCTGCTGCGCCAGAGCGCTTTCCTGGCTACCAGGCAGCCACATATCGCCCTAAACCTTCATTCACGGGCGGCATATCCGTGGTCCATCGCAGGGTGCTTGGCATCGTTGACGAGGTGCTCGGCATTGCCGTTCCAGGAGGATGCCGCCGATCCGGAGGGAGTTGCTGTGACAGGGCTGTCGGCGAGCCTGACAAGGGTCTTGCTATACAGTGGGATTTCGACAATCGGAAGGCGTCGGAAGCAGTGAGTGTGGGGCCGAAGACAGTGGAGCAGTGGCCTCGGCTGCCACATTACCGGAAGGAGTTTGCGGCGAGATTGCGGTCCTACAGCCCAGCGCTGTCTGCGCAGTTGAGGATGCCCCCGATGAAGGAGACGCGGTCGTTGACAAGGCCCGCGAGTCTACGAGTGTCTGCGGCGTTGCCGCCGTTGCGGATACCGAAGCTGAAGACGTGGAATGAACCAAGTCGCTTTTCACAGGCAGGTACCTGCTCAGGACATCCTTCAATACAGGAAACATCACCGGTTTCGCAATGAACGCGTCCATCCCATAAGCAAAGCATTTCTCGACATCGGCAGTGAGAGCGTTGGCAGTGACGGCGACGATCGGCAACCGCCGGGTGTGTGCGCGGCGATTCGAATCCTCCTCCTCCTCCTGCTGCGGTGCGCTCCCCGCTTCAACTCTCGAACCCGGTGTCCGTTCGCGTTCGCTAGGCACCTTCCCTTCCTCTTCTGCGGCCACAGCACCGCTCGAGTCCTCCACCGCGCTGCCGCTCGCCACCGGGACAGCAATCTCATGACTCCAGACCCCGGTCTCTTCGTACCGCCGAACCAGATAGGCAACTTGCAGGCCATCCATCAAGGGCATGCTGATGTCAAGCAGAAGCAGATCATACGGCTCTTGCCGAATAGCTTCGAGGGCTTCCAGGCCATTATTGACAACCTTTGCGGTGAATCCCAGCCTCTTCAACATCAGCATTGCCACCATGACATTAACCTTGTTATCTTCAGCGAGCAAAATTTTGGGCCGACAGTCGCTGGTCTCCGCGGATCGCTGCCGGGTATCGCCGCCGATCTCAGCACCCTCGGCTCCACCCAACTGCGCCGCTGCAGACGATGTGCACCGGGCCGTATCTCCCGCAAGCTCGTCTGCGGAAACTTGCTCCCTTCTCCCACAGGGGCCAGAGGTTGGCACCGATGCCTCCGTCGTCGTAGATGGGGGACCGCATTGAAGTTTGCAGCTGCTGCTGCTGCTGCTGCTACTGTCTTTCCCTCCCCGATCTAATGGCTGCTCATCAGCTGCTGTCGACACGGGGGTCTGCGAAGACAACGGCGACCCGTCTGCTGACGCCGGTCCCAGGGCGGCCTCGCCCGGTCGACCGGGCGATGGCGATGCCGGCAACGCTGCGTCCGATGCCCGGGAGACGTCCGCACGCTTGCACTTAATGGAGAAGGAGAACACGGATCCCTCTCCTACCTTGCTCATCACCGCAAGGTGACCCCCCATGAGCTCTACCAGCTGCTCACATAACACAAGAGTCCCGTAACAGCAGCATAACAGCCAACGCAGACAATCCAAGCAAACAAAGCCAAGATCGTTAGCATCATGTATCCGACGCATCTTCCACCGCAGGGTGACCTGCCATGCGTTCTACCACAACAGTTCACACAACAGAAAAGAGTCCAGTGATGGCAGCATAACATCCAACACAGATAAGCGAGGAAAAAAAAGGGAGAAAGAAAAAGTAGATGGCAAAATGCACATGTTCGACGAAGCATCATCAACCGCAGAGTAACACATTCCCATCCGCATTCGACCCACCCCTCCATCCTCCTCCTCACGACACGTGAGTTCGTACTGACAGCAAGACATGATGAACTGCTACCATGCCTGGAGATGGCCTGCGCAGCGACAGACGGACAGAAAGACAGGAGACAGACGGGTGGTTGCACAAAAAGGCGACATTGAAACGTTGCTGAAGGCACGAACGAAGGACAAACTGGTTGGCAAGCAGGCAGGGGCATACTGGTGGACACTGGACAGGCAGACATGCTGTCAGATCGACGGAGACAAACTGCAACAGACATGCTGTCAGACAGAAAGTGTCAAACAGCGACAGGCAGGTCAACAAACAAACACCTTCACTCCACTTTCCACCGCCGTCGCCTTCGCTGTGACCATCTCCGGAAATGACGGCGTGTCTGCGGCATAGGAGTCGAAAAAGACCGACAAACTGCCAACCGCTGTCGATAAACTCAACCACGTTCGACTGGTCAACCGTTCCGACCTTCTGACACCGAATTCATAACGTCAAGTCTTCATCCTGCGAAAAAAGTACTACCAGGATTGGTCCCCAAAAACCACATGTCACTGGGTGGGATTCTCCAGCGTACTACCCGGGCTGGAGAACTTGATATCTATTATCTTGACGCGCAGACAGGTCGACGGACAGACAAAGTCAGCAAGCAGACAGACAGATCAACAGACCTACAGATCACCAGACAGACAGATCAACAGACAGACAGACAGATCGGTCTGTCTGACACGCAGAACGACAGTACGTGCTAACGATCTGTCAGTCAGACGGGCAGGGACAAAATCA